GTTGCATTTCTTCCACTGTCTTGTTCTCTTTAAGGGCCATCTGGCATGTTTGCACTATTCACTTATTGAAGGTTGTCTGGATAGGGGCCCTAAAAATGTTGCTAATGCCCTTAAATCTGTGGCTGTCAAAGGTAATAATAGTTGTGGTGGTTTGGAAACCAGTGATTGGTCCTTCTGCCTGTCCATAAGGCATGGGTCCTCTAGTTTCAGTGGTTGATCGCCTGTCTATGGCAGCCACTGTGAGCAGGTAATTATTCCACACATCCACATCCCAATTTTTTTTCAATAAGTCTGGTTCCAAATCTGGGGTATCCTTTGGGACCTCCCCAGTGCTGACAGCATCAACGTGTCTGTTTGCAAATCCCAATTTGTGTCTTAGATGCTTGATTATGGACTCATACTGAGTGTGTTTTGCTGGTGCCTGTCCTTGCTCTAGTGTTAATTTCTTTATCATTCCTTGTAGGAATTGGACCTCTTGTTTTAATTTTGGCTTTTCTTCAGCCACTGTCTCAAGATTGTTATTTTCCAACGTGGTTTGTCTTGAAACATCACAAGGGGTTTGTAGCTGTGTGTGTGTGCCCTATTTTTAGAGTGTCTAATTTAGGTGTAATCTGTGTGAGCTGTGCGTCTCGCAGCATGAGCACCTCCTGACAGCTGGTCAGACAGAGGAAAAGATTTTTAGTAGCTTCCCATAAAAGCCACATAGCGGCAGCTTCCTACTTTGTGGAGTGTGGTGGTATGTCATATATCTGCATATAGTTTTTAAATGTATCTTCTAAATCTGCAATGGTGCAGGCATCTGCTACTGCCTGCTCAGTCCATGGGCTATGCCCAAACCACTGCAGCACTTGCTTTAAAAGACTCACATCCTGCAGATATGTAGGTAGGGGATCTTTTACATTTTTTACATCTGCCTCACTCATTACCGTTTTTCTTTTAAACATCTCAACTCATGTTCCTAATACTGTGTCTACTTCTTATCTCTCAAAGCCAATATACTAATCCGTAAAAACACACCAAAAAGTCCGGTTTTCCAATCTAGTCAAGTCCCAAGACAAAATTTAAACCAAAACAATGGACCCCTCTATAGGCAGTCCACATCCCACAAAGTGGGCTCCAAGTTAAACAAATTATCCACAACCCACAAAGTAGGTTCCAAGTCAAACAAGTTGCCTATCTACAGGCACTCCTCTATTTCTCCGATGTGATCGGTCTAATCCGAGACCACTATATCCAGCACATCTACCACCGGGTAGTGCGCGCTCCTTTAAATGGACAGACAGACAAATGTACAAACAAGACTTACTGTACAGTTAACATGAAATCAACCAATAACCACAACATAGAACCTTATTCACCCCCACACACATTCTCCACCAAAATGTTACTCTGGATTGCCAATTTATCAAATCAAGAACAAGACCTTATAAGGGGGGATAAGGCAAAATGCTGCGTTTATTGATTACATAGTCTTTCTGGACTTCAGGAAGGCCTTCAACACGGTCTCTCACCCCATTCTCAGTAAGAAACTAGGAGACAGTTGTGTTGATACCTACACGGTCAGATGGGTCATTAACTGGCTGGAGGGCCGCACCCAGAGGGTGGTGGTGGACGGGTCTTATTTGACCTGGAGGGATGTGGGCAGTGGGGTTCCCCAGGGCTCGGTCCTTGGGCCCGCACTATTCAACATCTTCATCAGCGACTTGGGCGAGGGGGTAGAAAGCACCCTTTCCAAATTCACAGATGACACTAAGATGTGGGAGCAAGTGGGCACACTAGTAGGAAGGAACAGGCTGCAAGCGGATCTAGACAGGTTACGGGGGTGGGCCAAAGAGAACAGGATGGGTTCAACACTGACAAGTGCAGGGTAATGCACCTGGGGAGGAAGAACCAGTGGCACACCTACAGGCTGGGGAGCTCCCTTCTTGCCAGTGTTGAGACAGTAAAGGATCTTGGAGTCATCACTGATGCTACATGAACATGGGCCGACAGTGTGGGGACGTGGTCAGGAAGGCCAACCATACCTTGTGCATCCACAGAAGCATCTCAAGCAGGTCCAAGGAGGTGATCCTCCCCCTCTATGCGACACTAGTCAGGCTGCAGCTGGAGTACTGCGTCCAGTTCTGGGCGCCGCACTTCAGGAGGGATGTGGCCAATATGGAGAGGGTCCAAAGGAGGGCCACCCGCATGATCAGGGGTCAGCAGGGCAGGCCCTACGAGGAGAGGCTGTGGGACTTGAACATGCTCAGCCTTCAAAAGAGAAGGCTGAGAGAGGATCTAGTGGCAGTCTACAAACTAGTCAAGGGCGACCAGCAGGCATTGGGAGAGTCCCTGTTCCCCTGAGGAATCCCGGGAATTACAAGAAACAATGGACACAAGCTAGCGGAGGGTAGTTTCAGGCTAGACATTAGGAAACGCTATTTCACTGTCAGGGCGGCTAGGACCTGGAACCAACTTCCAAGCGAAGTGGTGCTGGCTCCTACCCTGGGGGTCTTTAAAAAGAGGCTGGATAAACATCTGGCCGGGGTCGTTTGACCCCAGTACTCTTTCCTGCCATGGCAGGGGGTCGGACTAGATGATTTCCTCAGGGCCCTTCTGACTCTACCAACTATGAAACTATGAATCAGACATAGACGTTCGGACACACCACTCATACAGACACACACAAATCATTATACACATCATTACACACAGGCACTCTATGTTAACATCAGCTACATTAGTTCAGTTCATGCTACATGTCCTAACATAGAGTGCGATAGTAGTAAAATGTAACCATGTTAGTCTTGTCCTGTAAGTAACTTGAAAACTCCATTTTGTGTTCTTTTGCTTGACATAGGGCATACAGAGTTCATTGACTTTTTTTGTATGAGTGTATGTGAAAGGGTGAATGGTAAGAGAATGGCATAGAGTCAGGAAAGCGAAGATTTACCCGTGTCTGTAAGCAACAAGGTGCCAAATATGTAAGTTACCAGTCAGTAAACTAATTAATAGATGGCTGAAGAATCCCTTTGAGGCCTAGGGCACAAAGGAGATAACGAATAAGAGGAATGCACGCATCCTGCCAGATGGGCAGCAAGGACACTTTAAGGTGAGATACCAGCTTTTACGACCAAACTGACGTCGGGCTGAGATAAGTAGAAGATGGATGAGAAACAACTGCAAAACAGAAATTGGGTATGGAAAAATCCCAAAATGCTGAGCAAAGGATGCCAATCCCTATAAAAGAGGATTCTGGAAAATGCTGGGTTGGGTGAATCTCTTTCAACTGCTGCTTTCTTCGGAGCACAGATGCGTCTGTTCACCCTGCTTTAGCTGCTATCTTCATCTTTTCTCAGTAGGCCTGGGCTGGCTGCCCAGTGCTCCTATTGAGTAACTGCTGCTGGTAACTATAATATCTGAATGGAATGGTTGTTTTGTGTTGGTGTATGTCCGTGTGTAATGATGTGTATAATGATTTGTGTGTCTGTATGAGTGATGTGTCCGAACCTCTATGTCTGATTCATGTAATTAATAAACGTGGCATTTTTGTCTTATCCCCCCTTATAAGGTCTTGCTCTTGATTTGATAAATTGGCAATCCAAAGTAAGAACTGCTGAATGTCAACCAGTGATGTGCTCTTGTTGCAAAAAAGGTCAACAGCATACTGGGTTGCATCAACAGAAGTGTCACTTGCAAATCGAGGGAAGTGATTTTTCTGCTCTGTTTAGTACTGGTGAGACCTCTCTTGCATCCCGTGTCCAGTTTTGGCCTTTAGCAGGGAGCTAGACTAGTTGACCTAGTGATGTCCCTTTCAGCCTTAGTTTCCTATGAACCTAAGTTCATATTCAGTTTTCCAAACATTTATTTATGGTTGAAGAAATCTCTGTATTCCAAAGGAGGTTGGCTTTTGGTGGTGACAGTGACTAGTTTCTGGTGTTTTTCAGGTAACACTGGTCTCCCATAAATTAACTTTGTATACCATGCTCTGGCATACGTGCAGTTGCTTACCCCTGGTCTACTTTATCAGATGTATATAAAACTCCAGTCCTGAGTTCTCATAACTGTCTGCACAAAACTATGGATGGATGCCCACAACAAAGGTATTTGAATAGTCCTCTTACTACAATATGGTCAAAACAGGAGACTATTGGCTTATGTATGACAGATACTAACAAGAACTAGATATCAACATGCTCAAATAGAGACAGAGGCTTTGACTTCAATCCACAGATGCAAAAAGTTAATTTATGGGAGACCAGTGTTAGCTGAAAAACACCAGAAACTAGTCACTGTCACCACGAAAAGCCACCGCCGGTAAGTTGAAAGGGGCACATGTGTGGTGAGAGCCCCACGTGTGCCTGGTCAGCCTCCTCCTGCTCCCTCAGCTCCCAACTGCTCTGGGAGTCTTGGTAGATGACAGACTCAATATGAGTCTGCAGTTTGTAGCTGCACAAAAGGTGAATGTGGTTTTGGGATGCATCAATAGAAGCATTAGGTGCAAGACACAGGAGGTGATAGTGCCCCTTTACTTGGCACTGGTTAGGCCTGATCTAGAGTATTTTGTGCAGTTTGGGGCTTCACATTTTAAAAGGGATATGGAGAAACCGGGGACATGTAGGAGGGCAACAACGATGCTAAAGGGCTTGGAAGGCAAGTCATAGCAGGAGAGGCTGAAGGAGTTAGGCATGTTCAGCTGGCAGAAGAGGTGCTTAAGAGGGGACATAATTGCAGTCTTCAAATACTTGAAGGGCTGCCATTGTCAGGTATCTAGTTAAGTAGTCCACCCACCAAGAGTCTTTGCTCTTCCAGCCGTTCTCAGTTCCAGGGTAGAAGTGGTTACCCCCTTTTTTTTATCTGACCAGCCTATTGTTTTCTCTTTCAGTAGAGATCTCTGACCGGCTGATTGTTTTCTCTCTCTATAGAGAAGTGTGTGTGTGTGTGTGTGTGTGTGTGTGTGTGTGTGTGTATATATATTTTTATTTATTTATTTATTTATTTTTCTATTTATATCCCCATAGGACCTCAGCCCACCGGCTGATGTCAGGGATGAGTCCCAACCAGAGGTCCACACACCCGTGTCCTCGCCTGCCACGACTTGGTGTTTATGGGAGTAGATTCAGTACCTGGGTACGCAGTTCTAGTTGGTTGTCGTCCACTGTCCTATGTTCCTGAGGGCTCCACCATCCCCTACACCCTCACCTGTTCCACCGTGTATCGAATCGTCCTTTCATCACTGTTTGGCCATCGGGTTCTCTCCCGGGGCCTCTGTCAAAAAAAAGAAACCAAGCGCTCCCGTTCTGGATTATTGTTCACCTGTCTTTCGGCAACAAAAATAAATATATATACTCGGTGAGGTCCCTTTCTCCTTCACCTGTTCCCGTCTTTACAGCTGCTCTTCATGAGCCTCTTATTGGGGTCATTACAGTCCCCTCACCCACACTGGGTCTACCATTGATATTTTTTTCCTTGCACCCCTTTTAGGGTCTTTATGGTACCTTTCTTCTGGAATGCCCCTCTATTAGGGTCTTTATGGTACCTTCCCCCAGCTGGGCTCTGCCAGCTGCCAACCAGATCGCAAGCAGTTCCTGGTACTGCCACTCCACCAATCCTTCCTCTAAGTCTTCTCTGGGGAGCTCGCTCTCTGCAGGAGCCTCCTGCTGGCATTCCAGGTTGCTCTCAAGTTTTCCCGCAGCGTTGCTTGGCCCAGTTCCTCTCCTTCCGATCCTGCGCTCTCCTTCCCTGCCTGCTCCAGGCTCCTCTTTATACTGAAGTTTGAATTCCCGGTCCCTCCCCTCCAGAAACACCTGGGCAAGGAGGATTTCTGCCGGGCCATTTGGGGCTGTGGGGCTGGGGCAGCTGATTTTATCTTTAGTAAGTGCTCCTTTGCCCCCTGTGGCTCTCTTTCTCTTTCACAGCCATAAGAGGGAAAACACCTTTTTTTCTCTTGTTGCAGAGAGTAGGATACCTATCAATAGCTTGAAGTTGCAGACAAGTTGATTAGTTTGGATATCAGGGAAAGCTTCTTCACTGTTACAATATTGAGGCACTGGAATAGACTGTCTTGGGAAGTTGTGGCCTCTTCATTACTGGAGGTGTTCAAGAAGAGACTGGACAGCCATTGGTTGCAGATATTCTAGGCGCAGATATGTGTAACTAGGTGCATGGCTCAGGGGTGGGAGCCTGGCTACAGTGGGGGGTTAATGAGTAATAGCCTTCTTGACCAGAGGTATGCGACAGCTGACAGGGATAATTGCCTGGGCTTAGAGGAGGTTAAAAACTCCCAGGGAGGGGAACTGAGGAAGAGGGGAAAGACTGTGGTGCTGAGGAGGCAGCACAGAGCCAGAGTTGCCCTCTCTAGGTCTGAGGAATGACTGCTTGTTTTCGGTTAACTGTTGTTGTCTCTGTATTTGTTTGTTTTATTAGTGATGTTGTTTCCTGTGGGGGTAAGCTTGCGCCAGAGAAAATAAAAACTGAATGACAATATGCTATACATGGTGGAGAACATGGGCATTTTAAATCCAACGTCAGCCATGGGGACCAGAATCCTGCTAAAATGGCTGGAGGGGCTGCAGCAGCAGCAATAGCAGCAGCTGTTTCAGCAGCTCCAAAACAGCAGTTCCAGAGAGCAGCACGAAACAGCTATGACAGACCTCCCCACCCCCCTTGGATATAAGACAGAACCCCCGCCTGTGCTGCAGAGTCACCAGGCTCCCCAAGGCTAGAGAGTGGAGGCCTCATTAAGTTGGGACCTGTAGATGACCTGGAGGCTCACCTCACAACCTTTGAGTGGGTGGTGGAGTCCTATCAATGGCCATAGGACACAGGACCTGTGAGGGTGACCCCTCTGTTAACTCAGGAAACACAGGCCATTTAACAGATGCTGGGAGAAGATTCATCCCAGGATTATAAGAACCTTAAAGCAGCCATACTGGTCTGATAGAGTTTCACTGGGGAGACCTATTGCCGAAAGTTTTGAGTGGAGACTTGGGACCTGAATGCATAGCCACATGCCATGGCCCAGAAGCTAAAGGACTAGTGTACTCGCTGGCTAAATCTGGACTTCTGGTCAGCTGCAGAGGTTGTGGAACTAATGACTTCAGAACAGTTTTGTGCCACCCTCCCACTATAAATCCGGAGGTGCGTGTACCACCACCACCAGGGGCCAGCCTGGAGAAAGCCACGTGGAAGGTAGAGGACTTCAGGTGAGGCACATTTAGACTGCTGGGATTCCTGGAGAAGCTGGCAGCCTCCAGGCTCGGGGAGGCCAGGGCTACGCGACAAACAGGACAGGTCTCTAGGGTCTGATAGGGGCATTACCTCCATCTCTTCTGAGGCCCCATGCAGGAGGAAAACTCTTGAGTGGGCCTCCCAGAGAAGAAAGCCACTTGGGGCACTCTCACAGCCCAGGCAGAGAAAGGGAGGCTCAAATGATGTGCTTTTACAGTGGGGAGAAATGCCACTGAGATCGAGACTGCCTGCAGATGGACTTTGGGCACTCCTATGCCTTTGTCTCAGAAGTGAGGCAGGAGAGCCCAGACCAAAGGTGATATGTAATCTCTGTAAAACTTGGGAATGTCCATGTGGTAGGGCTCATAATCTCAGGCTCTTTTAAAACGTTTGTGCATGAGTGGTTTGTGAGTCTGGCAGATGTCCCAGTAGGTGTCCCACCTGCATTCATGGGGAGACCCAACCCTACCTCATAATTCACCTGTGCCTGACCATCAGGGGACAGAAAGGGTATCTAAGAGCAGTGGTGGCCTGTTATCTAGCCTACACTGTGGTGGTAGGGCTCAATTGGGGGTTGATGGCCGAGTTGATATGGTTGGCCTGGAGAATGGCTAAAACCCAAGCTGACCCCAATGTCACAGAACCAGAACTAGGGGAGACATTTCCCTTTTCGGACCCCAAGCTTTTTGGACTTTTACAGAGGTCATTCTGAGAGCAGTGGCAGGTCAGGTGGGAGACCCTTGGCAGCCAGAGGAAATGCTCAGGAAGAAGGGTCAGGGTTCAATGAGATCTGGACCCTGCTCCAAAGAAAGCAGAGGGTCAGAGAATTTCAGGAGCTCATCAGGAGGTTGGGCTGGATCAGGTGGAGGAAAGCTGAGATTTCATCCTTGATGAAAGGGAGGGTTTGGTATATGCTTCACTGTATGGATGGGCCAGTGAGGCCATAGTGGATGCAAGCTTAGCAGCCCAGGACCCCTATTTTAAGTTGCAGGAGGACAAGGTCACATGGGCATGAGAGTCCCAATTATTGGTCCCAAAACATTACCATGGCCAGATTTTGAAACTGGTACATAATGTAAAATGGGGGTGGGGAGGGAATTCGGTGGTGTAAAAGACCCAGGAGAGAGTGCTGCTGAGGGGTTTTTGGCCTGGAGTATACTAGGAAATCAAAGACTATTGTGCATCCTGCCCTGAGTGCTAGTTTGCTGCACCTCAGCTTGCTCATAAGACCCCTCTAGCGTCCATCTTGTTGGTCGCCATACCATTGGAACAGGTTGGGGTGAGCATGATGGGACCCCTGGAGCCCAGTTCAAGGGGATCTAATGTCATCTTGGCCTGATTGACTATGCCACCTGCTACCCCGAGGCTATGGTGATCTGCTCAGCTTCAGCACAAGTGGTGGCCTCTGAGCTACTACAGATTTTCTCCTAGGTGTACGTTCTTAAAGAGGTTTTAATGGACCAGGGCATGGCCTTTATGTTCTGATTGCTGCATGAGGTCTGGGGCTTATCAAAGGTCTATTCAGCAAGGACTTCAATGTACAATCCTCAAATGAATCACCTTGTCGAAAGATTTAATCAAACACTGAAGGGGATGTTGAGGAAATTTATCTCAGAGGAGCTGTGGAATTTGGATCAGTTATTACCAAATTTGTTGTTGGCCATATGAGAGGTTCCACAGTCTTCCATGGCCTTTTTGCCCTTTTAGTTACTGTAGGGGAGGCAGCTCCAGGGCACACTAGACCTCCTGTAAGAGTCCTGGGAGGCCCAGGGGACAGCTACACAAAACATAGTTTGGTATGTTTTGAAGCTGTGGGAAAGATTAGACCTGGTGGAGGTCCGTGCAAGGAAAAATCTTGAAGCAGCCTGACAGGAGCAGGAACAGCAATACAATAAAAATACTTGTTTCTGGATCTACTAGCCAGGGTATTGAGTTTTACTATTGCTCCCCTCTTCCTAGAGTAAGTTGCTCATGAAGTGGCAAAGTCCTTTGGTGATTCTTAGGCAGGGGTGGACTTAATGGCAGATCTGGCCGGCAGCCGGACTCCATTTCCTAGCAGTCCCTGCCTGTGTGGTTGGGGCCAGTCTCTGTAGAGACCCCAGCCACAGCTGTGCTATGATAGCAAAGTTGGGGTTGCCATGGAGACTGGCCCCAGCCATGCTGACCAGGCACGTGGCAGGGCAGCGCAGGAGACTGCTCTGGAGTTGCTGGGATCTTGCAGTGGGGGGTGTTAGACCCCGACTCCATGCGGCGCCCAATGACTAGGGAGATGACGGTCTAGTTGCCCATGGATCCTGTTACTCATTAGCCAGAGCAGAGCAGGGAGCAAAAACAAGCACACATTGCTCACAACAGCGTTATTTGAAATGGAGACAGCTTCGGACAAGGGTCTTATGCCATAAAAGACAGGGACCTTCCCTGAACAATAGTTCTTTTCACATTTTATACACCTTGGTTCATACTCATTAACATTTCCTGCCTTGTTCCACCTCCGGTTCCACCCATTTCTCCTCCCATTTCAAGCTCCTCTGTTTACTGCTTACTTCATTAACATGGGATTGCCTATGCGTTTCCTTCATTTACATGCCTCCCTGCTAAGAGCGCGTGCGTAAGACCATGAACTCTGGTACTCTCGGTCACTTGCTGGTTCTTTTTTGTTCTTTGCTGATTTCAGTACCATCTCCAAGGTTTGGCTTCTGTCTTATCTCCTGACGATAGCTAGTGGTATCTTGTTCTTACATAGCAAATCATACATTTTACACACTGTCCTTTTGTTAGGAAACTGCTTGCTTAAGCATTTGCAAAGTTAGTTGCTTTTAACATATCAGCTAACCTTGTGACTAGCATTTTTTTTCTGAGACACAGGAAAAAGCCTTCATTCAGCTGCACACTCAGCACCCCCAGATTCCATATTGTTACCCCAACATCCAAAATCCATATTGTTACCCTAACAGGGAGCAGCTTGGGCAGGGCCAGGGAAGAACTGTGATCTGCAGCCTGCATGTGTAATCTGTATCCAATTATAATACATTTTTAAAAAGCAAAAAAATAAGTCATGATATCAAATTAAATGGAAAAGTATGCTATTTAGCTTATAATAATTGTTTTTTCAGGCTAAATCCTAAATTTTATTTAATCATACAAATGAGGAGTGTAGTGCACTCAAAAAGAGGAGTGCAGTGTAAAAATTCAAACACATACCTTTTAAAGGATCATAAAAATTGCTATTTTTCCAAAGCAAGAAGATGTTGCTATTTTGTGTTCCTCATGATATTATCATATTCTGGTTAGATTATAAATTATAAATTAAACGTTGTAACTCATTGATGAGAAAATAAGGCTGAGCCTAGGGACTTGATGGCTGGACTGTTGCTAAGTTAATACTGAACTTTGTGAGCTGAAAATGATGTTCTTGTTGCTAAGTTGCTCAAGACAGAAATTCAAGTGAATTTATTATGATTTTTTTTCTTAACAGGCACATGCCAAAGTCTGGCATCTCTACAATGATCGTTTTCGTCCAACTCAAGGAGGTGAGGTGTCTATTGCCCTTAGCTCTCACTGGATAAAGCCTCAATACATGAGTGAACAAAATATTAAAGAATGTCAAAAATCCCTTGACTTTGTGCTTGGCTGGTTTGCTAAACCCATATTTATAGATGGTGACTACCCAGAGAGCATGAAGAGTAACTTATCATCTCTGCTGCCTGAATTCAGTGAAGCAGAAAAGAAGTATATCAAGGGAACAGCTGATTTTTTTGCTCTTTCTTTTGGAGCTACACTGAGTTTCCAGCTCTTGGACTCTCACATGAAATTTCAGCAGATAGAATCATTAAGCCTGCGGCAGCTCCTTTTCTGGATAAACAGTGAATATAACCATCCAAAAATTTTCATTGTGGAGAACAGCTGGTTTGTTTCTGGAAGCACCAAGAGAGATGATGCAAAGTATATGTATTATCTCAAAAAGTTCATTATGGAGACATTAAAAGGTAGGACGGAAGATGAAATAATGTTTTCCTGACAAAACCTATTGTGCAAAATATCTTAAGGAGGATCATTAAACAAATGTTTAGAAACTTAATTTCGGTTTTATACATGTTCATTATGCAGTGAGATTCCAAATAATTTTTGACATTCTGCATCAACTGTCAATGCCTGTAATATATATGGGCATCACTTTGGTCCTATTCTGGTCTGTTGTTAAAACCAATTGTAAAACGTTTGGGCGTTTATACACATGGTCTGGAGGGTAGCGGGGGATGGTGGGGAAGCTTTAATTAGAGTGTCTCAGAGAGCAGCTCTCTGAGCTGTTCTAATTAAAGCCCCTGGAATGCCTTGTGTATCAGCATACCTGTGCTGAAAAACGGCGGCACGGGTGCTTTAACTGAAGCTCGTTGAACGAGCTTTAGTTAAAGTGCTCCACTGTCATTTTTCAGCGCAGGGATGCTGATGCATGAGATGCTGGAGTGCAGTAATTACCATGCTCCAGCAGATTCAATTAATCCTGCTCCAACTTGGTGTAATTGTAATGCGTCAGAGCAGCCTCACTACTCATGTATAGGTGCCCTTTGGTTTCAGTGGGAGCAGTGCAAGCTCTTTGTGAATGATATTATCTCTGTATTAATTGTGTTGTGAGTAATTATAGTAATTTAAGTGTTTTAGGTAGATGACCAAATTACTAAAGAAGAATCTATCTAAAATGAAATACTTCCTGAAAGCATCACTGGATGCAATTTAGGGTTGAAACCCATGCTTTAATATAAAGACATGAAAATCCAATTGGTTTGAGCTTGATTTCTCTCTTGATTTCTCTCTTGACACTGGTCTCAGTTTGAGAGGAATGATGTTCTTGAAGTTTATGTGAATCTACATGGTTTTTAGCAATTAGTAAAAACTTTATTTACTTGAAATTAAAAAAAATGAAAGTACAGCTTATTTCATTGACATCTTTCATTTCTAGTGTTTTCAAATTGCAAAGCAGATTCTTTTAGTCCTGCTTGTCATCTACAACCAGCTGGGATGATTATTTCCAGTTGTTAATTTTCATTATCTTAATTTTTTGTTATAACTTTTTAATTGATTCACTTACCTGATTTTTCCTCCAGTGTTTTTTTCAGCACTATAATAATTGATTCCGATTAAATGGCATTTATGTTATATTGCGTTTTTTTTTTCTAGGAGAGTGAAAATTATTTCTATTTGCTTCTTGGCTGAAATGACAGATCCCAAGAACGTCCACTTGTTTTTCATTTGCTGTTGTAAAATCCTAATCATTATAACTGAAGTAAGAGCTGAGCAAATGTGCAACATGTATCTATGATCTGAAGAATACTATAAATAGAGGGTTTTTTTATTATTGCATGTCTAGTGTTAGTCACTGAAGACAGCACAGCTCTATGCTACTAACGTCCTCATGCTGGATTGGACCCCTTTGAAAGCCAGATCTGGCCTGTGAGTCATAGTTGGTGACCCTATTTTAGTGGTTAGGGTATTCAGCTGGAAAACAGGAGATTCTGATTCATAGATTCATAGATTGTTAGGGGCTGGAAGAAACCTTACAGAACATTGGGTCCAGCCACCCTGCTCTAGGTAGGAAGACAACTGGGGTTAGGTAACCCCAGTGAGGTGACTGTTTAGTCTCCTCTTGAAAACCTCCAGGGTAGGTGAGTGCACCACCTCTGGAGGAAGTTTATTTCACAGTCTGGACACCCTGACTGTGATGGAGTTTTTCCTGGTATTAAGTCTGAAGCCTTTCAGGAGTTTGTATCCATTGGTCCTGGTCTTCCCCAAGGGCGCCCTAGTGAACAGTTGTTCACCGAGCTCCTGATGCACTTCTCTAATGTAGCAGTAAACCACTATCAAGTCCTCTCTCAGCCTTCTCTCCTTTAGGCTAAAGTGGCCCAGGTCCCTCAGCCTTTCCTTGTATGGTTTGCCTTGCAAGTCCCTGATCATATGGGTGGCTTTTTTCTGGACCCTCTCGAGTTTTTTGCACTTCCTTCTTGAAGTGCGCCACCCAGAACTGGATGCAGTACTCCAACTGCAGTCTCACCGGTGCTGAGTACAGCGGGAGTATCACTTCCTTAGTTTTACACAAGATGCGTTGGTTGATGCATGCCAGCATGTTATTTGCCCTGCTGACCACTGCCTTGCACTGATGACTCATGTTCATGTGAAGGTCAATCATCACACATAGGTCGCTTTTGGCTGTGGTGCAAGTCAAGCTGTCACCACCAAGCTTTTATATATGTTGAGGGTTGTTTGCCCTCAGATGGAGCACCTTACACTTGGAAGTGTTAAACTTCATCTGGTTCCGGTCTGCCCAACTCTTGAGCTTGTCCAGGTCCGCCTGTATTTGCAACCTATCTTCTGACGTGACCCTAACTTAGTGTCATCTGCGAACTTGGCCAGTGAGCTTTCCACTCCCCCATCCAAATAATTGATAAAGGTGTTGAAAAGCACTGGTCCAAGCACAGACCCCTGAGGGACACCACTGGCCACTTTGTGCCAGGATGACACAGATTCATTCATGAGAACTCTCTGGGTCCTACTCTGTAGCCAGTTTCCCACCAACTCAACTGTCGAGCAGCTGAGCCCACAATCTTCCAGTTTTCCCACAAGGATATCGTGGGGTAGTAGATCAAAAGCCTTTTGGAAGTCTAGGTATATAACATCTAGCTCGTCTCCCATGTCCAGGTGGCGAGAGACCTGGTCATAGAAGGAGATGAGATTGATAAGACAAGACCTACCAGTGACAAAGCCATGCTGGCTGTCCTTCAGAATCTTACCTTTTGCAAGCGTAACACACAGATTCCTTAACGAGCTTTTCCAGGATTTACTGGAAGGTTAGGCTAATTGGCCTATAGTTGTCTGGGTTCTCCCTCTTTCCCTTCTTGAAGATGGCCATAATGTTGGCCCTCTTCCAATCCTCAGGGATTTCCCCTGTGGGCCACAAATTCTGAAAGAGCTTTGCCAGGGGTTCCGCAATGACCTGAGCCAGGTCCTTCAGCACTCTCAGATGAAGTGCATCTGGTCCTGCTGACTTATAAATGTCTAGCTTTTCTAGTTGGTATCACACCCACTCAGCATTCATAATGAGGAGGCTTTCAGTCCTGGCATGTCCCCAAGGGGCCTTATCTCACTTGCCTTTCCCCTTGGTCTGGTGAAATACTGAAGCAAAGTGGGCATTCAGGAGTTCATTTTTTTCCTGAATGTCAGTTACCAGCCATCTGGAGGTGTTAAGCAAGGGTCTCACACTTCCATTTTTTTCCCTTCTACTGCCTACATACATAAAGAAGGACTTTTTATTGTCCTTGACTCCTGTAGCTAATCTAAACTCAGCTGCTGTCATGGCTTTCCTGATCATTCCCCTACAAGTGCTGGCCACTATTGTATAGTCCTCTTTGAGGACCATCCCTAGCTTCCACTCCGTGTATGCCTCTTTTTTTCTTTTTTAAGAGGACTGCAATGTCCCTATGTTCATGTTTTCAGGTTTATTTCTGCTAATCTTTTTTTTTTATTAACAAAAAGTTATGCATTTTAAATTTAGAAAAAAGGAAAATCTATAAAAATGCAAATCACTAAATCTGAAAATAAAGCTGTAAAGCTGGCAGGTCCCTTAAGTCTGGAGCAGTTTTGCAGCTGACTTCAGATACAAGGTATTTGCAGAGGAATATTATTATTTTTAAAGAAGCTCTTTAAATTATTTAAGCCATAAAACAGTCTAAAAACAAGAAATATGAGGTGTCTGGAAAATCAAATGAAAGTATTGCAGCATTAACACTGTCATCTGGACTGAGTAGATAGTGGGTACATCTACATGAGATGCTACTGTGCAGCCATTACTATGCATGTATTAGTGCTGACAAACATCTTTTATGTGACTGTACTGTGCAGTAGCCTCATAATACTGTGCAATAGTGTATTAGCATTGTCCATGCTGTGACGCACTGCTGCGCAGTATTTTTCAGCTACTGCGCAGTTGGTGTCTCATGTAGACATGCCTAGTTAGTACAAATCCATAATATAGATATCCCCCCAGTTGAATTGGTATTTTTTTGTTTTAATTTTTGAGCAGGTCCTTTTTGTTTTTGCTTAATTTCTTTGGGCAAAATAGTAAGTTAGATCCAAAACACACTGAACTCAGTTGAAAGCTTTACTGAATGGGCTTGGATCAAGTTAGTGATATGAATATAATCTATTCATAGATTCATAGATGTTAGGGTCGGAAGGGACCTCAATAGATCATCGAGTCCAACCCCCTGCATAGGCAGTAAAGAGTGCTGGGTCTAGATGACCCCAGCTAGATACTCATCTAACCTCCTCTTGAAGACCCCCAGGGTAGGGAAGAACACCACCTCCCTTGGGAGCCCGTTCCAGACCCTGGCCACTCTAACTGTGAAGAAGTTCTTTCTAATGTCCAATCTAAATCTGCTCTCTGCTAGCTTGTGGCCATTATTTCTTGTACCCCCCGGGGGTGCCTTGGTGAATAAATCCTCACCAATTCCCTTCTGGGCCCCCGTGATGAACTTATAGGTAGCCACAAGGTCGCCTCTCAACCTTCTCTTGCAGAGGCTGAATAGATCCAGTTTCTCTAGTCTCCCCTCGTAAGGCTTGGTTTGTAGCCCCTTAACCATACGAGTGGCCCTTCTCTGGACCCTCTCCAGGTTATCCGCATCCCTCTTGAAGTGCGGCACCCAGAATTGCATGCACTACTCCAACTGCGGTCTGACCAGCGCCCGATAGAGGGGAAGTATCACCTCCTTGGACCTATTCGTCATGCATCTGCTGATGCACGATACAGTGCCATTAGCTTTTCTGATGGCTTTGTCACCCTGCCGACTCATGTTCATCTTGGAGTCCACTAGGACTCCAAGATCCCTTTCCACTTCCGTGCCACCCAGCAGGTCATTCCCTAGGCTGTAGGTGTGCTGGACATTTTTCCTCCCTAGGTGCAGCACCTTGCATTTCTCCTTGTTGAACTGCATTCTGTTGTTTTCTGCCCATTTGTCCAACCTGTCCAGATCTGCTTGCAGCTGTTCCCTGCCCTCCGGCGTGTCCACATCTCCCCATAGCTTTGTGTCATCTGCAAACTTGGACAGAGTACATTTCATTCCCTCGTCCAAGTCACTGATGAAGACATTAAAGAGTATCGGTCCAAGGACCGAACCCGGCGGGACCCCACTTCCCACACCCTTCCAGGTCGAAACCGCCCCATCCACCACGACTCTCTGGGTGCGACCCTCCAGCCAATTCGCCACCCACCGGACTGTGTAGTCATCCAAGTCACAGCCTCTTAACTTGTTCACCAGTATGGGGTGGGATACCGTATCGAAGGCCTTCCTGATGTCTAAGTATACAACAACCCCCCCTCCTCCTGTGTCCAGGCGTTTCGTAACCTGGTCATAAAAAGAAACTAGATTGGTCAGGCACGATCTGCCTGCCACGAACCCGTGCTGGTTTCCCCTCAGCATAATTTGTCCTGCCGGGCTCTCACCAATGTGAGCCTTGATAATTTTTTTAAAGACTTTGCCAAGGATGGAGGTGAGACTGACTGGCCTCTAGTTGCCTGGGTCCTCCTTCCTCCCCTTTTTGAAAATGGGAACCACGTTGGCCCTTTTCCAGTCCTCCGGGACTTGGCCCGCACGCCACGAGCTTTCAAATATTCCCGCCAGTGGCTCTGCAATGATGTTGGCCAGTGCCTTCAGCACCCTCGGATGGAGCTCATCCGGGCCTGCCGACTTAAAGGCATCCAGTTCTTCCAAATGACTCTGCACCATCTCAGGGTCTACACATGGTAGTCTGGCGCCTTGCTGCTGCCTCTCTACAACCCCAGTGAGAGACTTGTCGTGCCCCTCCCTTAGGAACACTGAGGCAAAGAACTCGTTGAGGAGTTCAGCCTTGTCCCCTCTGTCCGTCACCAATTGTTTCTGTCCATTTAGCAGGGGTCCTATTCCTCCCTGGGCCTTCCTTTTACTCCCTATATATCTAAAAAACAATTTCTTGTTGTCTTTTACTTGGGTTGCCATCCTCAGCTCCATGGTAGCTTTGGCCCATCTAACTGCCTCCGTACAAGCACGAACAGAGGAGGTATATTCATCTTTGGTGATCTCTCCCTGTTTCCCCTTTTTATGTGCTCCCCTTTTGTCCCTTAGGCAATTTTTTGTATTGCAATACAATCTATTGTATTGATCTAACATACAAATACTACAGCAGTTTTTAATATGGGATGGTACCTATGTGAAGCCATTTTGATTTTTCTCCTTCTCTTAGCCATCCGGTATGATGGAGTTGATGTCTTTGGATACACTGTTTGGTCGCTCATGGATGGCTTTGAATGGCACAGAGGATATAGCATTAGACGTGGATTATATTATGTTGATTTTGAAAGCCACGACAAGAAATTTATGCCAAAGTCTTCAGCCTTGTTCTACCAAAAGCTAATAGAAAAAAATGGCTTCCCACCTTTGCCTGAAAATCAACCAATAGTTGGGATGTTTCCATGCAACTTTGCTTGGGGAATTGTTGACAACTACATTCAAGTAAGTTTGATGACAAAAGCCAACAGACCCTTGAACCAAATCACCTTGGAAGTAAATAATATTGCTGCATATTGCTCTCATTTTCACTTTGGTAATATTAGATGGACAACCATAATGGTTTGGGTAGTTGCCAGTTTATTATAGCTGCATTTTCTACACAATATCTTTCCAGCCTTCATTTTGTATAGTAAAATTCAGCTCCCAGATTGGGTCGAAAAGTAGAATTTTTAATTTAGATTTTCCACAAAGACAAAAGTATTTTTTAAGGCTGAAGCATAGCTTTGCCACCCAAAAAGTAAACTCTACCCTTTTTTTTACTCTGGAGAAACATTGCATCCAGGTTACACGATACATTGATTTCCAAGAAAATTCAACAATCATTGTCTTTCTAGATTTCAAATAAGTTGAGATTGGAAATGGAACTGGTGCCCTTGGGATCAATAACAGCTATACATTTACTAAGTCAGTCATCTGGAGACAGTTTAAAAAAATAAACAAACCCCTCTTCAAATGAATATTTTCATTTCAAAAGGACATACAAATATTTTGTGCTGTAAAGCTGAGGTAGTGAGATTTGTAGATGCATCACAGTGGAAAAACACTTTTGACAGCATTCCCACAGTATTAGTGGAAATGCATGCTTTAGTAATTTACAAGGGACAATTCTCCAGAAAAGCAATTTCCCTCTGACATGCTGTTTTTTATTACCTACCTTTATAAGCACAGCACTGACCTCTCCTGAGGAAAAAAACAACTGATTTGCAGCAGCCCTGTACAGTTCTACAGAGCCTCAGTTACTGGCCCAACATTGGGTTTAGGCTGACACCTGCTTTTGAAACAGAGGGTCAGTCAAGGAAATTTGTGCTTAAAGGTGTATTTTAGAAAGAAAAATAGTTGGCACAGTCAGGTGTACATGTAGGGATAGTATCCTGCCATTTGAATTTTTGTACTATTTTTCCTATGAAAGGTAAGCTGTCGTGGTAAGGAGAAGGGTTTTATTGTGTGCAGTATTTTTAAACAGCACACTTTACAGCCCTTTTTGTGTTTGTAGTATCTATTAAAAATGATTTAAAAATGTATGATGCTAAGAAGCCCCGAGTGTCTACCCCTCTCACTGGCTCCAGTGGGTAGAACATGTGCTCCACATATCTAGGGCCCAAAGGATTTTTGGGAAATGTATTTATTGTCTGAGTGATTAAGATAACTGAGAGATCATACCAAAATTAACAATTCAGAAAACAATCTAATAGCTTAGCAGTGAATGAATGGCACTTCCTAGTTCAGTATAGTAGTACAATGAAGGGCATTTCTTTATGAAGAAGCAACATTTTCTTTTGCTACTTGAAAGCATGCTAAAAATCAAACTCAGAGAATTATTTCTTTTTTTCAGCATCCCAAATAATTATTTCTTTTTGTTATATTTTAAAGAAATTTCTTTTAAAATGTAAGTTATTCATAGAACCATAGGGTTTCTGTGTTATCCTTATAGATTTTCATTGGTTGTCCCTGAGTCATCCCTAGGTTCTTTCACAGAACATTTGTATGAATCAGAAGGGGTAACAAAAGACATGGTGGATGTGTTAGAAGGGAAAATGTGTATTTATTCTGAGTCAATTCCCAGTTAAAAGCAATATTTCGCTTATGACTATTAGTGGGAAAAATGTGTTTGATGGTTATGAATTTTCTGAGTAATTAGATCTGATCAATCAAATCTAATGTTTCTCTTTTCTTCTTAGGTAGACGTAACTCCTTCCCAGTTCCTTGACCCTAATGTGTATTTGTGGGATGTTCACCAAACTAAGAAACTTATTAAAGTTGATGGGATTCTTGCCCCAAAACGCAAGCGTCATTGTGTTGACTTTGCTGCTATTAGACTACAGATCTCTCTGCTGCAGGAAACGCGTGTCACACATTTCCATTTTTCACTGAAATGGTCTTTGATTCTTCCTTTGGGTAACCTGTCTCTAATCAACCACACGCTTTTACATTATTATCAGTGCTTTGTTAGTGAACTTCTCCGAGTCAATATAACTCCTGTTGTTGCTTTGTGGCAGCCTATGGCAGAGAACCAAGGGCTTCCTGTTTCATTAGCAAAATATGGAGCCTGGGAGAACCCAGAGACTATTCAAGCCTTTGTTGAGTATGCCAGGCTCTGCTTTAAAAATCTTGGTCACCGTGTCAAATTTTGGATCACAATGAATGAACCCTATGTGAGAAACCTGACTTACACTGCAGGGCATAATCTGTTGAAAGCCCACGCTAAGGCCTGGCACCTATATGATAAAGAGTTCAGAAGATCTCAGAAAGGTAAAATATCTATAGCTCTGCAAGCTGATTGGGCGGAGCCAGCCTGCCCATTTTCCAAAAATGATCAAGAAGTTGCAGATAGAGTTTTGGAATTTGATATTGGATGGCTTGCTGAGCCCATCTTTGGAAATGGTGACTACCCCCGTGTGATGAGAGAGTGGCTTCACCAAAGAAACAGCATTGATTTATATAATTTCCATTTGCCTTATTTCTCTGAAGAAGAAAAGAAATTAATCCAAGGCTCATATGATTTTTTTGCCTTAAGTCATTATACGACTATCCTCGTGGACTGGGAAAAAGAAGATCCACTGAAATATGATCACTACCTTGAAGTTCAAATGATAAATGACATCACGTGGCTGAACTCCCCCAGCAGAACTGCTGTGGTGCCCTGGGGATTGCGGAAATTGCTCAAGTGGGTTAAATCTAAGTATGGTGATGTCCCAATTTATATTGTAGCCAATGGAATTGATGATGATCAGAATGTGGTTCATGATAAACTGAGAATATATTACATACAGAATTATATCAATGAGGTTTTAAAAGGTAAGGAATTCTTGGGATTTTCAGTGTATAATCCTTTTGGTACTCAAATACATTCTTATGAAGCTTTTGTTTTTGTTTTTTAAAAAAAAAAAAGGCACAGCACCTATCATGTTATGTGGACTTGACTTAAGTTATACTATAGTTATACGATACTATAGTTTATACTATATACATTAGTCTCTGGGGGTGTTTATACATGTGCCGCATGGAGGTGGGGGGGGTGCTTTAATTAGAGTGGCTCTGAAAGCCGCTCTAATTAAAGTGTCCGAAGTGTCACATGTATCAGCGTCCCCGCACTGAAAAATGGTGACTGGGGTGCTTTAAACAAAGTTTGTTGAATGAGCTTTAGTTAAAGCATCCCTGCCGCCATTTTTTCAGCATGGGAATTTTGGAGTCTGCTGAAGCATGGTAATTACCACGCTACAGCAGATTTGATTAATCAAGTCTGTTGTGACATACTAATTACAGTGCACTGGAGTAGCCTTGATGCACATGTATAGGTGCTCAGGTATACAAACCCATTGTTTAGTATTAGAAAGATAGATCTTTCACGTTCTGAATAAAGCAGGCAAGTCATATATCCTTAAGCAGCTGCAGTTGCTGCAGTTTAGGTACTTGCAAAATGTGTTGGCAAGATTGGTTTTCTTTCTCTTTGATTGTTCTTTCAGTATCTTCTCAGCACTTTTGCCTCTTGTCCTCTCTGTAGGAGTATCACAAGAGTTAGTCAACTACCCATCCCTCATTTCTATACCCTGTCTGAGTGACCTCATCAACATACATCTGTTCAATAATCTTTTTCTTTATTCTATTCCTGGCTGGTTCTACATTGCCTGTTTCCTGTTTTATTGGTTGAGAGATTAAAGGCAGGAAGGGATTGTTTTGATATGAACACTATCATAGTACATTCCATAGGATTTTCCTGAGTTACCTAAAGCCCCCCGCCTCTCCCAGCCCCCTGCTGTTCCCCTGCTCATTTCCAGCCTTCAGGGGCTTGTCTCCATCCTTCTGCTTGTCTTCAGCCCCCTGCTCATTCTCCTGTTCTGTCTCCAGTCTTTTGGAGGCTGGAGATGAGTAGGAGAATGAGAAGGAGGCTGGAGAAGATTCAGAGATTCCCCTGGTCGGCTCCTGCTCCCCTATCGCTTCCCCACCTGGCTCCAGCCTCCCGCACTGCCTGCAGCTTAGCAGCGGTGGCGGTCAGGGCCACTCAGGGCCTCATGGCACAGCCTCACCTGAATGGCGGGGGGCCAGCAGGGCTCGGCCCAGGCCACGGCCCAGGCCACCTGGCACCTGCACTGCAGCTGCTGTATCTCGCGGTGCGGCCCAGTGTCAGCAGGGTGCTGTTTGCTGTTTGGAAGCTTGGGGGTGCTGTGTCTGTCACCTGTGGCTTGGCGCTGCTCAACCTGAGCAGCTGGAGCTCTGATAAAGTGCACGGTGCCCCATAGAGCCAGGATGCACCTGTGCGATGTGGCAGCATGGTTGCCAGGCATTTGGAGCCAAGCCCCGCTGCCCCCTGAGCAGCGTGGCTGTGTCATGAAGCCCCAAGCAGCCCCCACCGCTGCTGCTACTGTTGGTGAGTGGGGGAGGGCTGGGGCCAGGCGGGAGAGTGAGTGGGGGAGGGGTGGGGGGAGCAAAAGGGGACTGGGACCAGATTCATAGATTCATAGATGTTAGGGTCGGAAGGGACCTCAATAGATCATCGAGTCTGACCCCCTGCATAGG